GGGTAATCATGCTTATTACTCATTAGTTACATTTACCAACAGGTCTATACTTTAGTCTAAAAATAGCAGTTGCTTTACAAAGAAATTGTTAATACTGAGAGCCGTTGCTTGTCACTTGTTCCATTATTAAACACACATACACACATTATGACATAGGAGTCTATTTTGGACATACAAAATAGAACTCATCCTAGAAGCCACTTAATAAAATCCTTAGGGCAAATGAGTATATTTGAAGACCTGGTTACCTCAGAAGATCATCATTCTCTTGAATATGTTCTTTTGGCAATTGAGATCATCTCCAGTTACTGATTCTCGGCTTTATGCTTCAGGGAATTTATGATAGGTTGTTTTTGTTGAGGGCTTTCTATAATATTCTACCTGCCCTGGACTAAGGAAAGTCCCAGTTAGTGAACTACAAGGCCCTAGGACAAAAATCCTTTCTCCAGTAGCATGCTATTGCTATCTTTATGACTCTATCATTTTCATAGTTTTAAAAAATGTAATCTGAAAGTACAACCTGAGGCTCTAAAGCAATGAAGATAGTAAATGAATAAATAAAATATGCTCTACACCTATCTCTGACACCATTTCAAGAGGAAAAATTCATTTATATCAAAGATTTTAAGTTGAGGCAATAGATTTCTTTTGGTGACTGCTAAGGAAAATACCTTGCTTAAAAATTTCCAAAGTCTTTGTTGTTATTTCACAAACTCAGAAATGTCACAAGCAAATCATATTAACTGCTCTCAACAACAAATGTCCTTTTTTTAAAAAAGAGAGAGAGAGAGAGAGCACAAGGGATGTGCAGAGGAAGGAGAGAAATCTTAAGCAGGCTCCACACTCAGAGTGGAGCCAAAGCAGGGCTCAATCCCACAACCTTGAGATCATGACCTGAGCTGAAATCAAGAGTTGGACGCTCAACCAAATGAGCCACCCAGGCACCCACAACAATAACTGTCTTATCTAATATGACTAACCTATAAGAATTCCTATTCCTCAAAGCTGACTCTAAACAGCACGCCATTATATTTCAGAGAATTGTGTATACCCTCTCATTCTCTTAACTACCATTTTGAATTACATTTTAAAAATTTCAAAAAGGATATAGATTGTGATTTTCTCAAATTACTTCACTTATACATTCCATTATATTTCACTTTGATTTTTAAAATCCTATGATTATACACATACCATTGGAGATAATTTTGTAGTCATAAAAATCATGAATCCAGCTATCTTTCTACAATCAAGAATGCTGGTTCTGGTTAGGACAAGGAAGTGAGTAGATTTCCCACATCATACATGGCCAAAATAAAAACAAAACAAAACAAAACTGAAGCAACTATTAGCAAAGTCATTCCTTTAAAAACTTTTAAATCAGAAATGTACAGATTTGGAACTTTTGGGCTTTAAAATCTAAAGAGAACTTAGCAGTCCCCTAGCTTAGTCTTCTATACAATAAAGGACTTCTTTCTATAATAGAGGCTAGGTTACATGCTGGTGGCCTGAGGACCATGTGCAGCCCATAGGTATAGTCTGTGTGACCTGCACAATTTTGTTCTGTTTTGTTTTATTTTGTTTTAATTAAGCCAACACACAAAAATCCAGGTCTTTGCCTTGTCTTGAAAATCCACCTGGAGCCGTATGTCTGCTGCCCCTATTGGACGAGTCATGCCATGTCCACTTCTCCACAGTCCTGCCACTTTTGATACACCCACTTCACTCATTCATCATCTGCCTGGTGCTTTAAGCATCTCAACATTTCAGTCAATGACCACTCACTATTCCAGACAGAGGGTTATCCACTCTGTTGCTGAATATCTCCACAAAAGGAGAGGGAGTATACAACTCTGCAAGTTGACTGATTTCACTGTAGGCAACACTAAACATTAGAGAGAATTATCTAGAATATTTTACAAACACAAACTAGTTCTATCCTCAGAAGCAGAGTAAATTTACTCTTTCTTCCACAGAAGAGGCTTCTAGGTATCTGAAGACAACTAACTTGCCTAGGCCTTAATTTGCAGTTGAATGTCTCCAAAGCCCCAGATATTCCTCATAGTAATCTTTGCAAGCTCACCTGTGGCCCCTGAGATGCTTCTCTGCATGGATGAATTCTATTTATGATTTATTTGTTTTAACTCTTACTTGTGTATTCATTTATTATACATTTTAGTTATCAGTGTTCTTCACATGTAATAATGTAATAGTTCCTTGATCTAGATGAGTGGTTCTCAAGCTTTTTGGTCTCAGGATCCCTTTTCATGTTTAAAATTAATTGGAGATCCCAATGAGCTTTAAAGAAAGTTGTATCTATTGGCATTCACTGTATTAGCAACTAACACTAACATTATTAAAAAATATTATATGTATTAGTTCATTTCAAATACATGTTAACATAATGGCATATTTCTATGAAAAATAAACACATTTTCCAAAATAATATCATCTCCCTGCTTTCACCTAAATACAGAACTTATATAAATATTTCGCTGTAGATCCCATTTTGTTGGTTTCAGGTTACTCTTTGGCAGTGGACACTGCTGAGGCCCCACCCACCTCCCCTTAAGGCCAGTGTACCCATCCCCACTTAGCTGTTTTGATTGTTGGCTGATAACACAAAGCAGAATACCTAGTAACACCGGAGACACCCTGCTTGGGAAGCTATGTCTACCTCTACTTCATCCAATGAATGACCGACAAGCCAATAATTGTCACAGAGTACAAAAAGACCCATCCCAATGACACAAAGCGGAAGTAAATCTAGGCGTAGTTTGTGCTCCAGAGCTTCCCATGGGGTCAGACCCAAGCTAGTTTCTAGCTGAGAGCACATTCTTCCTTAGCTTTTATCCCTTGTCCTATCCTGCTTCTGTCACTCACCCCCTTCTAAAAGTTATCCCTAACAAATCAGTGAATAAGCACCTCCATCTCAAGCTCTGCTTCTGGTGAACCCAACCTAAGATATCTCTCATCTCACCAAGATTACTGCAATATCGATGCTGTCATACATCAGTTCAACTAACCATCTCAGCTGCGCAGCATCTCAATATGCTAGGCATTCTATTATAGAGCAGTGCACTGGTTCTCAAAATGTGATTGCTGGCCCAGCAGCAGTAGCAGCATTCGGGAACTTTTTAGAACTGCAAACTCTCAGGCCCATTCCAGGCCTACTGAATCACAATTGCCATCACAGAGATGTGCCATAATTAACCAATCCATTATTGTTCTGTATTTCCGCAGTTTCCATTTTTTGCTAATATAAATAATGGTGAAATGAACGTACTTGCAGTTAAATCTCTGTGTACATTTCCAATAATTCTATGAATATTTGTCTTCAATTTACTTTGAGGTAGAAGTATTAAATTGAAAAATAAAATGTACTGATAGATGAATAGAGGGACAGACATGTAATAAAGCAAGCACAGCAAATGTCAATGAAAGACTCTAGGTGAGGAGTATATGGATGTTGACTGCTAAATTCTTGCAACCTTTTCATGTTTGAAATTTGTTAGAAAATGTTGAAAAGATTTCTATTTTATGAGGTTAATTCCTAGAATTGGAATAGATTTTTCGTAGTATGTGCCCATCTTTAAGCTCTGTGAAGTTAAAACATCAACCAGAAAGTGTCAGTTCCCTCACACTGTCAACACTGCTTTTTAGTTCTTTTCAAATCTCTGCCAACTTGTTAGGCATAAACTGGTAATTCATCTTTTAAATCACCATTTCTGTGTGCATTTTTAAGTTAATATATAATGAAAAGCTTCCTAATGCGATATTGGTTATTTGAACTACGAAGCAGTAATCAGGATTTGAGCGCCTACCCAGGGGCACTTAGCTTATTACCAAGCACAATACCCTCAAGAATAACTTGCAAACTGAATTATATTGGCAAGAGTTACTTCTAGGCCAGTGTCATACACAGGCAGTGGGGAAAGAGAGGTGGGAGTCTAATGCCGGATTGCCAAATGGGTCTGACTTAACAGGTCCTAGGAAATGGTTCTTTCTTCCTTCACAAGAAAATCGTAATCTCGCATTTTACCAGAATGCTCAGAATTCCAAGCATTAGTATTTTCTTCCTTTGTGTTGAGGCAATTAGATCCCCATCAATACTATTTTAGAATTCAAGTACTTTACTTCAGAATGGGCTCTACAAAATTATGGTATATCCAAAGGATGAAATGCAATGAAGCCATTTAAAGAACTATGGAATTCTACATTTACTGACATGTAAAGAAGTCTATGATATATTACTTGTGCATTGAAAAAAAAAGAAAAGTATGTACATGTCTGTACGACAGAAAATTTGTGGAAAGATATTTATTATAATAGTGGCTACATCCAGTTAAAGGACATATGGCAGTTTTTGTACTCTTTACATATTTCTTGTTTACTTTTGCCATAGATATATAAAAATTTCTTTATTAACAATAACAATATAAGAAGGCTATTTGCATTTTGATAAAAATAAAATTGAAAGTATCCCAGAAAACCACTAAGCCATCAGCACCTTATTAAAATTTAATTTAGGAAGATTTTTAAGTCAAGGTTAAAGTGCCCTAAGGAATGAGACCCAGATCCAGCATAGTTTAAAAGGCATAGAGTTTTAAAGGGAAAAGAGTTAAAGGCAGACTAGGCAAAGAAGTCTCCAGCTATGTATTAATCAGCTAAGGGACATGTCTGTGTTGTCCTGGGAGGATTTCACTGGAGAAAAATCAATAGGCAATGGAAGTCGTCTGTGGTCTTCAGATCCAAGAGAAACCAAAAGGGTGAAGGCTCAGAGTCTGTAAGGACTCAGTAGATCTTTACACTACCACAATTCCTGCTTTCGATATTATAGAAGAAAATACTTCCTGACCAATGATATTCAATTTTTGCCTTATAGCAGGCCCAGGATCCAATGCCAGTTAATGTTTTCAAATATATGTTTAAGATTTAAATTGTTTCCTTTATACTTCAAAAAGACTGAAAAGGAGAATAAGACATATTAAACCACTTACCTCAATGGGTAGACATGTCTGTACACAGGCAGATGTTCCCGAATGTGACATCAGAGTCTCGGGTTTAATTTGAAAGTGTGTTTTGCACATGTAGCCTTCAGAAGAGTCCTGTGTTGCATCACCAAAGAATACATAAGAAAATGCCAATTATTTTAAGAATTCATTTTAAGCACTATAGTTTTCCATAAGTTTCAAACTGAGCAATAAAAAAACTAAATACATTCAAAGAAATGAGATAATATGGATAAAGAAATTCATCCAATAAACCCTGGACATAGTAGCTACTCATTGAATAGAAGTTTTAATCCTCTACCATTCTCACTTATTAATGATGTTTCCCCCTTCTCTTAGATCTCCCTGCTCCTTCCTAAGCAGTCCATAGCACATAAGTCATAGAGCAAAACTTCTGGTTGGCAGCTGTTAAAAAGCATTTAAACTTAAAGAAATATTTCATCACATATTAATATTGATTTCATGGCCTATATAAAAAGAGAAATTTAAGGAGAACTTGCAACAGATCTTGAAGTTAGAAGGGACCTTCCATTTTGACTTCTTGTTTAAGACAAGATCTCCATTAAACGTCACAGGGAAATAATTATGCAGCACTTGCCTGAGCACTTCCAGGAACCCACGCTTTACTCCCTTACATGACTACCGCCTCCATTTTTATACATAGTACATTGTTCACTGAGAAAGTATTATACTGCACTGAAATGTTTATCTTTAACCTTAACTCAATGGTTTCAATTCTGCTCTCCAGAGTCTAAACTCTTTTCTACAAAGCCATTCATTCTTTAAAACCTTGATGACAATACCACCATTTTCAAATGTTCCATGGGGAAGATGAGACTTCCAAGCCCTTTACCAATTTGTACTGCTAGCCTCTTTCTTATATTTGCTCTTAAATACAGTAATGGATAATGTTTATCTAATTGTGGTCAGTTCCATTTTTTTAAGCAAAATTTGGTTGAATTCAATAAGGTCCTGTATATGGGGCGCCTGGGTGGCTCAGTCGGTTGAGCGTCCGACTTCGGCTCAGGTCATGATCTCCCGGTCTGTGAGTTCAAGCCCCGCCTTGGGCTCTGTGCTGACAGCTCAGAGCCGGAGCCTGCTTCGGATTCTGTGTCTCCCTCTCTCTCTGCCCCTCCCCTGCTCATGCTCTGTCTCTCTCTGTCTCAAAAATAAATAAACATTTAAAAAAATTAAAAAAAAAAAGGTCCTGTATAAAAATGTTAACACCTCATGTACAAACATACCTACATATCAATGAATATTATTAATTCTCCACCAAACTATCATACTAACATTCACATTTTAACAGAAATAGTTATAAGTAATGAAGATGAGATTACTGATTCTGACGCAGCAGTTAAAATACAGAATAGCATTCCAACTAAAACAATTCATAATTCACTTAAATACTTTTACTAAGATTCAAAAATCCAGTTTTTATCTATAAAATAAGAAAAGAAAAAAAATTTTTTTTCTTTTTTTTCCTTTTTTTCAACTTTTTTTTTTTTTTTTTGGGGGGGGGGGACAGAGAGAGACAGAGCATGAACGGGGGAGGGGCAGAGAGAGGGAGACACAGAATCGGAAACAGGCTCCAGGCTCTGAGCCATCAGCCCAGAGCCCGACGCGGGGCTCGAACTCACGGACCGCGAGATCGTGACCTGGCTGAAGTCGGACGCTTAACCGACTGCGCCACCCAGGCGCCCCTAAGAAAAGAAAAATTTTATAGTACATTTTAATATTGCTTTTTTTTTTTTTAATTTTGTGTCATGCCAACAATGTAAGAGCATTGGATTTTAGGTACCTGAGCTAGTTTGAATAATGTCCCTTCTAAATTCATGTCCACCTAGAACCTGTAAATGTGACTTTATTTGGAAAACAGGGTCTATGCAAATGTAATAAAGTTAAGAGGAGGTCATACTGGAATAGGGTAGACCTGAATCCAATGCAACTGGCATCCTTACAAGAAGAGGGAAATTTGGTTACAGACACACAGATACACAGTGGAGAAGGCCACAGAAAAACACAGACAAAAACTGAAGTGGTGCATCTACAAACCAAAGAATGCCAACAGTTGCCACCAATCATCAGAAGCAAGAAGAGGCAAGGAAAGATTTTTCTCTAGAACTTTTAGAGGGAGTGTTGCCCTGCCAACATATTGCTTTTCAACTCCCAACCTCCAGAACCATAAGAGAATGTACTTGTTTTAAACCATTCAGTTCATAGTACTTTCTTATGGTAGCCCTAGGAAACTAATACAGGAACTATATTTTCTGAGAAATCTGGCGGCACCTTTACGATGCCTCCTGGTTGCCTGGGCTGACACTTTACCAGCACTCACAAAAGAATGCTGCTGTTTGGTCCTGATCAGCACCAGTTCTAATTGGCTGGATCCAACTTATTATGATTGGTTGATACCACTGCCACAGGTTGTTAAACATTTTGAATATCATTCCTCCCTGTAAAGTAAGCTATTAGGTATCCAATATAATCACCTTTTATTATTTCATTCAAGTTATACATTTTGTAGAATTAATCATTTTTTTTAATTCTAGTTCTGCATCATCTAAACGCAAAGTACTTCCCCGATATCCTTCTACCACTGAAATCTCTACATTTAGACAACATAAATGACATTTAATATTGGTTTAAATTGAGAAAGATATATGTAGTGAGTGTAGTTGTTGTTGCTGCTTTTTACATCAGGTATTTATTGCCCCATCTTCTGGAAGAGTAGTCAATTATCTTCTATGGAAGCATTCCCTACTTCCCTGTCAGTGTGGACATGGCCTCCCAACTATGAGAATGATCAAAGAACTCTGATCTGGCCAATAAGGACATCAGTCCTGCTGACCTCAGAAACTCAGACAGGCAGTCTACTCAGGGCCAATGAAAACAGTTCAGGACTTCAGTTAGGGGACGGGGAACGGTATTCTCTTTTCGACTGGATTTCAACCAGGAAGATGGGCAGCCTTGGCAGTGCTGGCAGCCATCAAGTAATTAAATGGAGCCTGAGAATGAAGCCAATGCAGAGGAAAGCAAAGCCACGAGATGCAGAAAGACCAGATCCTGATTACACTATTTACACCACCCATACTTAAAGTTAGTTCTACCCTCAAATTTTGCAATTACCCGGCTTTAAAAAGCCCCTCCTTGGCTTCACCCAACTTGGATTTGGCTTTCTGTCACTTGCAACTAAAATAATCTTTCTACAAAATGACCTATATTGTGTTTATTATGTTAAAACTAGATGAGTTTTCCTGCTGTTGAGAATGGGCCTCCTATAACCACAGAAAGAGGCTCCTAAATCATGAAATAGTTTGACTTGAATGACTAAACTAGATGGTTTTCTACTATATTGTATGATCACCCTCATTATACTAGATAATCAATAGTTGATTATATAAAAGATTTACCAAATACAGTAAAACCATAATGATACGTGTTTGTGAGACAGAAAGTACTGGCAGTCTGCAATTTAAAAATAATCTAGCTATAGAGGGAACAAAAAAAAAAAACCCTTTAGACATTCAGAGAAGAGTTAGAACTGAACTGTGTGTACTGAATCTGATTCATCAAATGAAGGTAACTATTCTGTTTCATGAGGGCTGATCATACAACCTCTTCCTACGGCAAATTCTAATACAAGGCAAAATACATCTCCTTTGACACCAAGAGGTTAAGTCAAAAATTCCTATACACCTGTGTTATAAAATCTAAATGTATTATCTGATCTCTTAGCCAATGAATTAAGATAGAGAGATGTGTCATTTTTAATATTACTTGTAATTTAAGGGATGTTGTTTCTATTGTGGGTACTTTCTGATACTACTTATTGGTGTCTATAAGGAGATACATGGGATTTTTGACACAGCCTATATATACGGTAAATTTCTTTTCAGTATCAATCTCTTAACAGTCAACATTAGCCTTGAAAAATTAAATATAGAAAAAAAAGTTTATAGAATATTAGCTTCCTTTCAAACATTTACTTTCATAGAAGTAAATGTTCTCCTATGCTGTTTTAAGGCAGAAAAATATGTTCTCCTCTTCACTGTTGAAGGTTGCTTTTGTAGAGACAAGCAAACATAAAAGCATGAGGAACTGCCCCCTGAGCTAGTACTACAGTCTGTCTGGCCCAATAAATGATAATTAACTCAAATCTCAACTGACTTTCCTGGTAGACACTCAACTCTAACTTCCTTGCATTCGCTCTGTAGTTATGATAGCTTACAGTTCAATGTCAAGTTTTCTTTAATTTTTTTTTTTTTAAACGTTTATTTATGTTTGAGACAGAGAGAGACAGAGCATGAGCAGGGGAGGGCCAGAGAAAGAGGAAGACACAGAATCCGAAGCAGGCTCCAGGCTCTGAGCGGTCAGCACAGAGCCCGACGCGGGGCTCAAACTCACAGACTGTGAGATCAGGACCTGAGCCGAAGTCGGACGCTTAACCGACTGAGCCACCCAGGCGCCCCTTTCTTTAATTTTTTAACATGTGTTAGTTTTATTTTCCCTAAGCAATCCAAAGTTAAGACTAGGCCCAGCCCCTGGGGAAGAAAGGGTCCTAACTACAGAGTCTGCTTGCACATAAAACACTGGTTCCTTGTCTCCACGGAGTCTGAAAACACTCTGGACCAGAACAGGAGAAGGCAGGAACAAAGGAAACCGTGCAGTTTATCCAACTCAACCCTATCGTGTTAGAGATTAGAGGATGAAGGACTTAAGTACTTTTAAGAGATCTGTCTTACAACTAATTGGGGGAGCCACTGGAACTGGAAAACAGGCCATATGACCCCAGTGCTCTCCATACCACACTAAGCAATTCTGCCAGAGATTAGCATCATGGTAGAAACATGCTTACTGACTGTTGTGGAGTGGTGAAAGCCCAAACTTTGCACACTGAGTAACAAGCTGAAGCACTCAAGGGTGATCTGGGAACCAGGAGCCTCCTTGTCATCTGGGAGCTTGTTAGACACACAGAATCTCAAGCTTTGCTCGGGAACCTCTGAATCAGAATCTGTATGTAACAGGATCCCAGATAATTTGTGTGCACTTTTGGAGGCACTGAGGCAACATGTACTGCAATCCCTGATTCAAAG